GTAGTGCGATAAGAGGGAGAGGGAGGGAAGTGAATGGTGGAGAGGTAACGGTGGAGTGAGGGATGGGTAGTCGAGGGGGAAGATAAGAGGGATGGGAGGTGGGCTGTATGAGGAGGGGAGAGAAGAGGTTGGAAGGAGGCGATAGGATGCATTGGAGTAAGGAGTTGAGGGGAGGGATATGGGGAGTGGGAGGGGAAGTGAGAGGAGTGAGATGGTAAGGGGAGAGGGAGGGGGAGAGGATAGGAGAGCAAGGTAAATACGGTGAGTGAGGGATGGGAAAGTGAGCGGGAAGGGGAGGGAGAGGGTGGGTTGGCTGGAGGGGAAGTGGGAGGCGGAGGAGGGGGAGGGGGGAACGTGACAATCCGTCGTCGCGACGATCGCCGCGTCCGCCGGCAATCGCCGAGCGCAAACCATGCTGTCCAATCGGAGCGGTTTGTTGACGGAAGCCGTCAATCTGCGGGTCCACCCCCTCCCTCCCACTCTGCCGGCCCATCCGTTGCTCCGCACCCCATGGCGAAATCTAGCTCCACACCCCGCTGCAACGAGTTGTTGGCAAGCGTGGATACTGCACAGGTGTCGGACGACCCTCGAAACGGAGTTTCCGAAACGTTCGTTGTTTTAACATTTTCCATTTGGGGCAAGAGGAGGCGAACTTGACATTTTTACGATTTTCAATTGGAGATTTGAAAAACTTTTATCGAATACCTCAAATCTTGAATTTTACATGCTATTAGCATATCACTTGTAATAAATTTATATTATTCTAAAAAAGGAAATGTGGGGAGACAAAAAAATTTTGTAGGGACTTTACAGCTGTCAGTTTGACGGAAATTGTACGTTATATGGGATGATCCACACAAATCTGTGAATATTTAATACAATCTGTCCCGCGTTCGGCAAGCCATTGATATAATAATAGCTCTGTACTATATGTCTCACATGTTCAATATGAATAATAAAAATGTATACAGTTAATACTCGTTAACACGAATTTGAGGACACTAAAATAATCGATGTTCTTTTTATAAAAAAAATTGTGTTATCAGATTTTTATGCATATATCCTTATTACTATGTTTCTTTGGAAGGATCCAAATTTTGTTCGTTTGACGACGAATTTCGTGTTAAGACAATTCGTGACAACCAGGGTTTATTGAATTTATGTTTTAATTTTTATGTAAGAGAAGATATATTTCTTTTGTTGCTACTATTGCCCTACCTTGCTCATACGTAAATTCAATAATTCATTTTAACTGTTATAGAATTACTGCTAACATGACTGACTGATACGTTATCTAATGCATTTTTGACGTTACAGTCAGAACGTACGCTGACGAATATACCTGGAGGAGGGAAAGGCAGCAAGCCGACCTATAGAACCCGACTGAACCTCACGATCTTGTGGTGCAACAACACCGCTACCTCCCAGGTAGAACATGCAATACACTACATTTTCAATCGTATTCCTTGAATTTTCGACCTGTCAGGGTGACGTTGGGGTTTGCAGTATGACCTCCGGGCCGTGAGTTCAAATCCCGCATAAGGCACGGATGTTGTGCTGGATCGGCCAGAAGCAACCATTGTGTATTTACTTCTACATCCAATTTCTACACATGCCATACATAAATAACATCCGCCGAAACGGCTATGTTTCGCCGTGATGGACATACTTGGAAAAAACGGAAACAGGCGTACTATCCATTCCTACAGCCGAGAATGAGTGGGGCCCTAACCCGAAATACAGTAGTATACACACGAGAATGGAAACGGATTTGTGATCGGGAAGGATGGGCGAGTTGCTAGAAGAGCCTTAACTCTAAAAGGCAACCTCATACAAAAATCAGTAAGTAACTAGGTCCGCCTAGAGTACGGTTCTCTCAAGTATGTGTTCTGACCCTTATCAGAGGAGCTCGCAAGTGTGTTGGTGTCTAGTGTGTGGTCGAAACAGCGTCCCACCGGGCTTTAAAGGGAGCCCCACAAAAAAATAACTAACACGGTAAGTAGGTAAGAGAGCAAGCAAGCAAGCACGCAGGTAGATTGTTAAGAGAGCTGGATGCGTCCCCAGTTGCCCAGACAGTTCGTCGCGTCCTCCGAAAGTTTCCACGCCACCGCCCCCTGCAGTGGCACGCAGAGGCACAGCTTGTTCGATACGAACCCTCCCCCTCCCCTCCCCTCCCCTCCCCCATCCCGTACAGGAACAATGGGCGCGTCGCGATTGACTCGTCACCGGCAACAATCGGCTGACAGCTGACTAATGAAGGCGCGCCTGGGCGCGACAGAGCAGAGCCACCTAGCGGGGCGTCGGCACACCCGCCACGGGCTGCTCATCCGCCGAGGACCCAAATTCGGATATTACAAATACATTTCTGGAAAGTTATATATCTAGAGTACTATTACGTGGAGATGAAGGATGAACATTCGTTTGGAAGCTTTGAGATGTGGTTGTGGCGAAAAATATTGAAGGTTTCCTGGACAGAAGAATATTCCAATAATGTCATTTTAGAAAAATTGGAGATGAAGAAATCTCTGTGCTAAAAGCCATTTGGAACAGGAAAGTTAAATTCTTTGGACACATATTCAGACATAACCAATTCTTAAGCACATTTTCGGACTGTAAAATAGTTGGAAAAGTAGGGAAAGGGAGACTTGGAATGAATATTTTAGAACAACTTGAAACCGAACTACGCTTCCAAATCCATGCAGATATGAAGAGGACAGCGGAGCTCACAATGTCGGGGCGGCAGCGACAACACTCTTTTTGCCTTTAGGATGATGATGACGATGATGAACCATAGGGGAGTAGTGTCCCTGGCCAGCTGCATCCCTTCGGGCTCGCATCACTTCAGAGTTACACCGTTCCATGACCAATTGAGTACTGCTTTAAACTCGATTTACACGCAGTTTTTTGTAGTTTCTCCGATTTTAACAGGCGAATGCCGGAGAATTAAACTTATAAATGGGCCACGGACCGCGCGCGAAATTCCCTTCCTCGTCCTATCTTCACCTTATTACGAACACACACACACACATCCACTACACTACGTTTAACGTTGCGATAAAAGTCAGAAGCAAATACTGACTTCAGGAGTATACTCATGTATCACTCACATATCACTACAACTTATTACAAGTTTTGTTAGCTGAATCATTCTTACAAAAACGAAGTGAAGTACGCGTTCGATTCGCCAAAATCCTAGTAACTGCGTCATGAATCGTCTTCTTTCGAAAACGAATCAATGTGTCTGCCGCAACAGGAAAGTTTCGATTAGAGGACCGATTGTGTACAGCATGCTCAACATCAAAACGTCACACGGGGTGATAAATGCACCTAGCAGTTGCCAAACGTGTTCAGTTATCACTTCCAATTCACCTGCATTTCACGTAATTCGCTTTTCATTCTAGCACGCCCCTACTTCTCAATGCGAAGGAAAGCGCTATTTTAATCCGACAAAATCCCATGATGTCGTCAGGGATGTCGACGGTGTAGAAAGGAGTCGTTATGCCGAACGAATCAGAAAAGCGTTAACCCGTGCAACAGTCTCTACGCCAATATATTTCAAAGCAAGGCAAATGGCAACTGCAAACAGATATCATGTACACATAAGCAGCTGTCATTGATGTATTATAGGACATTTTAACGGGTCTATTCAATGTATATAAACAGACGTGCAGAAAATGACAATTTCAAAGCACATTATTTAAGACGATAAAATTCTGGAGTTACGAGAAACGTTTTCGAAAAATGTGTGGTGACACGTATTCCCAAAAGCAAGACTAATTAAACAGCAGGTGTTAACACAACTACTACATCAAGAGATTTGGTGAAGTGACAAATTGACAGCTGCTATCCATCATGGACGACCATTGACACTCATTACTCAATACGTGAATTATGATGTGTCTAGCTCTCAATCAAAGGGCAAATGTATATTTAAAGTGGCAAAACACTCTGCTACCTTGTTCAATGCCTTCACCCTTCTTTCTCTCCCTCTCTCTCTCCTTCCCTATTTATCTCAGTCCCTCCCTCTTGCCCTCTCTCTCTGGTCCTCATTCCTTGCTCTCTTTCGTTCTTCTTTTTGTTCTCTCTCTGTCTCTTTCGCTAGCGTTTTTCTTATCTTCCTTTCTCCCTCTAGCTTTCTCTCTTCTCCTCCATCTCTCTCTCTCTCTCTCTCTCTCACTCACTCACTCACTCACTATATCATTCACTCACTCACTCACTCACTCTTGCGCTTGCTCATTCGCTTCATACGATGCAGCAACACAAATAGGGGAACGATCTGACATATATGTACTACAAACATTGTTAGCCTATTAGTATTAAACTATAGCGGCCATATGGGGAGGAGAGATCAGCCCTTAGCAAAGATCTCCGATAGCAGAATGGGAAAAAAATAATCACAATCGGTCCGTTGCCCGTTGTTTAAAGTACTACTCCGCCATTCTTCTGGAACTTATTGGAGCAACCACAGCAGCCAACATCTTCAATGCCCATCCACGCAGAGGACGGCATCGCTCCTGCTTCTTCCAAAAATCTGCCATCAGTACTCACATCTAGAATCTCTCAGCCAACAGAGTATCAGTTAATGAGCTTATACATCCGGGTTCAAAATTCATTACGGTTGGGGTATCACCCCAAAAGGTAGCAAAACTAAAACCGGGGCAACAAAAAATAGATTACCTAGTAAACGCATTCGGTGTATCACGTTCGGTTTCACATATGTTTGAACAAATTGACGCGGAATCGATTGATGGAGGTGTATCTGTAGTAATTACAATAGCTGAGTGGCGTTGCTCTGTGGGAAGGAGTTGTTCAAGAGTTCAACAAGGTGTAGCACACGGTCAGCATTTCTGGTTGGTGACAGGACTCGAACTTAGGAGTGTGCCAACGATCTTCCGCTCCACAAAGCCCCAGCTGCGAGCTAGAATCAACTCCACACAGTAGCGCCACCGGCCATGCAATTATCACGGATGGCGCTTCCCCCAAAAAAGGTAGTATCGATACTACGTCGACCGAATCAGGAAAGTATCGATTAGCGACTCGGCGTGTAGCACACGTTCTACATCTGCCGAGCCGTGTCCTAAATTTTCGAAGCCTTGTTTAACACAACATCGCACTCGCGCCGATCCGAACGGAGGGGGTGTGAAGCAGCTGTTGTCGCTGGGCTGCTGTCCGACAGGAAGTCCGGTTTGTTTCCCAGAACGACTGCGCAGCGGAGGCGCGGACGCGAAAAAAACATTTGGACTCCCAGACTGGATGGCCTCGTCGCTCGTAACACAAAGACTGGAAAGTATTTCTAGCACTCTGGGTAAATTATCCTGACGAGGAAAGAGGAGGGTTTTCATAATACTGTATGTGAATTCTCATGAGGTTAAAGAGTAGAGTATTTCTAATCAGGTAGGTAGAGTTTCGTGGAACGAAGACTACAATGTATTCATGATACCAGGGGCGCAATTTCACGAGGAGAATTTAGGGTATTTCTAAAACGGTTGGCAAATTTTCTTGGTACAAAGTCCAGAGGACATTTCTGATACGAAGGGAGAATTGCACGAAGACTAAAAGATATGTCTGATAAAATGGGGAAATATCCATTATACTAGAGCTGTATGGTAAATCTGATAGACACGTAATATCTCGGACTAACATGTTAGTACATGAACGAAACATTTTAATATTAGAATATGTAAACATTAGAATGAATGTAATACAATCAAACGGCTTGTCTATCATGATATCGTAGTCCTAATTAAATTATTAATTCGCTGGGAATATTTAACATCCATTTGGTTTGATATATTACAAAGGAACGGAAAGCTATATTGGGAAGCTGTATTTCTGAAAAAGAAAATAAGTTGACGCAATAATGATAGTCACAATAATAATAATAATAATAATAATAATAATAATAATAATGATATGAGAAGTGTGACATTACTCTTCACGTATGTAGCAGTAACGCACTATAATAATAATTATTATTATTTATATTATTACTATTATTATTGTTATTATTTATTAAAGCTGTAAAATGTCCGATTTTGATATTTCTCCAAAACCGCTCCCAGAGAACGGTTTTCAACAAATGAGGAACAAAAAAAGAGAGGAAAAATTGGGAGTGGAGGATATTATATAGTCAATAGATCGCAGCTTTCCTTCATTAATGAAAAGCTACGAAATTTGCATTGTTAGAAATGCGGGACTAGAATGGTAGCGGGAAGATGACGTCTTGCGTATCTCCGCAAGTTCGTGGGAAATGCATTAACAGTTACACTTGCTTAGGGAAAACCATGTTATGCGATCGTTAATACGATTGTTTGTGACTATCAGTTGTAAGTATTCAATGGGATTTCTTACATAACATTCTTGTGATATCTACGAAAAAACATGAAAGAGGTGAGGGTGTTCTCATTATTATTTAGAAATTGAATTTCATACATTCTGTTATACACATTAAGGTAAGGTCGATAGCAGAATTTGCTGTTATAGGCCAAAACAATATCAATGTGTATATATATATATATATATATATATATATATATATATATATATATTAATTATCACAATTTCTGTAGAGACTTTAGGATCTCAATCTAGAACTATGGAAGAAAAAGTCGTGCATTCACGGTCGGTATGAAATTTGTACGAATCGCCACAAGACGCTACTATGAGATCTGCCGGGAAACAATTGCATTGCGCCGTCCGAGAACTTCAGTGGCGATATTTCTATGTGTGCATACTTCATTTGACCTTTATAAAGTATTAATTAACCACGAGGAGCATAGAAAAAAGGTAGGAATAGGGAAAGAGGTAGTTTATCAAAATATCACTTTACATACATAAGCACAAAATCGAAATGGCTGATTGCCGTCGCGTCGAGTTAACAAATCCGTTAGTGAACGAGTTTGCCGCTATAGGCGCTGCAGTCAAACTGTAAACTTTCTGCATGAAAAGTTACGAAAATGCTCAAACGTTTTCAGGCAGAAATCGTGCAGTCTCGTCTGCATGTTTTCATATGCATCCAATCTGCACGAAAAGTGTACTTTGTATATTAAGCGACCTTAAAAATCTTGGTGAATTTAAAACATAATGTTGTTCGTTGATATGCAGTATTTATTATTATTATTATTATTATTATTATTATTATTATTATTATTATTATTATCATTAGTGTTATTTTTAATTTTTCATGTAAATATACATTACGAAAGCAATTTATTTTTAGGATAATTACCATTTAGCAAAAGCATTTTCTGCTTTTTCTTCGCGTGCACTTTCAAACGACTGAAAAACGCTTTTGTTATTTAAAATACACGACACGTGTCATATCAAAGACTTCATACAAAACAGAGAACAAGCTGCCTTTAGTTCAATAGAGGCCTGAAAAGTATACAAAAAAGCCTCCTTTGCCCGTTTCGCACACAGGGCCGACTTACCTTCCAACGTCTGGTTGAAGCACTGCCAGAACTCCGCCTGCAACAGAAACAGAACGTTGGAGCCATGACAAGAATAATTTTCCACATTTTCTGAGGAGGGAATTTCCCGACAGAAACATCAAAGGGCAGTTCCCCGAAATGAAAAATGCATTGCAGTTAAGCATGCTTGATAAGCTTTTGAATATATTAAGGCGTGCTCCTTCATGTGGTTCGTTTTTTCTTGAATCGTTGCTGAATAGATATATGGAGTGGAGGTTCAAATGTTTTATTTTGGCGTCTTGTTGCGGTTTTTGAGGGAGAGTTCAAAGCAAGGCAGGAAAGGGGAAGAATTCGTAAACCAGTCCTATGTATTTATATTTGGAATAGAAGAGATTGGGAAAGTCTAAAAGACGTGTGGTCGTTACGATGCTAAAGAATTTTATTTCCTTGTTATCACTCTCGCTAAAGGGAAGCGATATTATCGTGATATTGATGCCTAACCACCGCTCTTTAAAACGATATTGATAAATCAAAACTCACTTTTAGCTCTTTGCTTTCTTCCTGTATGCTCCAAGGTAAACTTTGCATCATTTATTGTAGTATGTCCGGTTTTATGGAGTTTCTTTTAAACTTTATTTTCTTCCAAGCCAGTTTAACACTCAATTTAGTTGCCCTGATGGATGTATAATTGCACCAAAACTTTCATTTTTCTCTGATCGACCAAAATTACAGTAAATTGGATTAACACAGTCCCTGATTTCTTCAGTTTAACGACTATGTTTCTAAACAAACTTCAGAGACGCTGATGTTGTAACGCAAATTAGGATAAAATAGAGATGATAAAATATATGAAAGATAATATCAAACTCAATAATTAAAAAGATTGATCGAATTATATGCGAGATTAAGTCAGTAATCTTTGCCATAGTTGTAGAAATATTACGTTGTTTAATGTCCAGATTAATAACTTTGGAATCGTTTAGGTTATAATTGCATGGAAAATCACACAAAATGTACGTTTGAAAACAAAACATTAATACACGCAAATATTCTATAACACTACGAATACAAAATCGTCGAATCGTTAGTGAGAAGATCTACTATTGACTTTCCTTCGTATAAAATACCGTTCAGAGGATCATATACCCTTAATTTGTAAGTGTCATTTAACAGGGGATAAGTACACCCGGAAATAAATTTAAGCCCTTTTGATATTAAGTGTATATTTACGAATAAAACTTCTATCTGTTCTTATTTGTTGGGATAATACTGACAAAAGTATTTACTTCAATAGAGATTACGATTCAAGCTATCTTTAGTTCCTACGCAAATGTTTAAAAGTCGACGATTACTGTATCAAACTGATTAGAAGTATCAGAAGAAGCAACACCAAAATAATTTAAATTAAACATTTGTTGGAAGTATTTATGTTGGCATTTTAAAAAATGTATTGCGTTAAAATGATCAGAGCTCCTTTCGTATTTTGTTCGCGACCAGAGAAAAAAAGGATTGGGAAGATTGAAGAATACCTTTCTGAAACTTCAAGTATTTCTCCTCTGCTTAATCTTGCTAGACATCACCTTTACCTCTGTTTCTGAAGTAGGGATATTGAGAACATTTGAAGTTATCGTATATACTATTGATATTACATTCCGCAACCCGCATGACTCACCTGTGTTATCCTTCGTGTTGCATACCTGCATGTTAACTTATGCATACCAATGGCATTCTGACACTGCGAATAGCACAAAGATTAAAAAAGATCGACAGGGTTTTCAGGAGAGTGAACTGATAATTTCGTCAGTCCCGTAAGTGTCGTGCATGTTTTTTTTTTATCGCGGGACATGGCTGCATGCATACTCCACTGGTTGGTGAGATCTGGCGACGGCCTGCCTGTCGGCTTGCGGGGTTTTCCCCAACCAGGTATCACCACCAGCGGCGCCCCGCCCTCCCCGAGACAGACTAAGCTCGCGAGTGGTCGTCCGTCATGTGTGGTCATGTGTGGCGTAGTGCATTTACGTGTAAGCAACTAAATTTATATGTAAGGGGGCATGAAATGACTAGGTAGAAGAAGGATAGATAGCGTGCGGTCCGTGGCCCGTTTGTAAGGGTACTGGTCCGGCGTACGCCTAGTGTTGTTCGGACAAACCATGGGAAACTACCGATCAGAGCAGTCAGCCATCAGTATTATCCTCCAGACAGCTAATGAATTCGACCTAGCTCTGACCACCATCTAAATCTGGCTATCACCGTCGGGACACGAACCTAGGACCTCCTGGTCAGAGGTACTGCAGTGACATCAATTGATGCCCTGAGCCACCTTTGCCGGTGTGAATTAATTAATGAAGCAGTTTCATTGTCAACCAAAACATAACTGCAACGAAACTGTGACTAAGAAAGTGAAGGATTAGATTAAGCAACAACAAATTAAAATATTCGTTACAATTACGTTCATTTATAGATTTAATAGACCAATCATATTTAGTTAGATTCACTGGCGGGACAAGTAAACTCTCACACACTAAAACCCAATAATATTCTAAATGAGGGAAAGGTAAAAATTATAAAGTTAAATGGCACTGAATATATGCGTATGTGTATCTGAACGAAATAAAGTCGCATTAATATTAGCGCATTAGATACCTAAAAGAGCATACAGTACGCATTCAAATACAATTCCGATTTGAAAAGGGTCAAAACCAAACTTCAGATTTACAGACGTAGAAACACTCCTCCCAAAGCTCTCTCACTCAAAATTCCAACGTAAAAAATTCCCAAAGGTTTGCCCTGAGCCTGCAAGCAACGAGACAGCACAGCATCACACGATTTTTCTTTTTTTTCCCCTGCCCATCGTCACGTACTGTTTTTACTAATCGCATTTCGTTTTTTTCGTAATCCCGAGATTAACTCGAGCCGAGAGCGGCTCAGCTTCGTGCGGCGTCGAGACCCCGTGAGCGAATCGACTGCGCCGGGCGTTATCGATTGTCGGACGAGCAACTCGTCTAATTACGTAAGTGCGCTTGCGGTGGCGGCGACAGACGACTGTCGCGACGCTGCTGCTGCTGCTGCTGCTGCTGCTAGGCGCAGCACGAGAGCGCATGCGAGGGAAGCCAGCTGCTTGTGACGGGCCAGACGAGATGGGATGATTGGATGCTGGGAGGTGCGGGACGCTCGGCTAAAATGTAGAACGTTCGTATGTTTTAGGACCGAAAGCACGGCAACATTTGTTTTTAGGGCTATTTCATTAAATATCTTAGTTAAAGGAGCTCTGGAGCTTCATAAGCGAGAAATAAACATGCGCCGAGTTCATGGTGCGATATGTGAATTCAGAATATTAGTCTCAAGCCAAAGCTATTTCTTCTTATTTTTCTTCTACGTCCTTTACTTATTAATTTATTTATTAATTTATTTACTTATTTATTTATTTTAACTTATTTATTTAGTTTGTTTATCTTAAGTCTAGAATATCTGTAGGAATCGAAAGGTATAAAGAAGTAAAAATCGAAATACATAGTAATAAGTAATTGTAAATTTGTAAAAATTTGTGATCTCATTCCTGATTCTTTGTGGGCCCTTCTGCTGACTAGAGGTTTCTTAGTAACATGTTACAGGTGAAAGGAAATTTCCAAATGACTAAAAATGCATGCTTTCTTTCACTGGCTCTTCCAGCGTACGTAATAGTTATGAATCGAACAAATACGAAAATGTTTTCAACACTACAAGATCGATTTCTTTTCTAGACAACGGAACTCAACTGTAGGAACGGAAATGGAGCTAGATCCGTTGAAGAGAATGAAAAGACACAAGAGGTAATGAAAATCAGAAAGAGAGGATGTGCGTAAAAGACAAGACTAGAAAGAAAAAAAAGAAGACCAACACTAAAAAATAGGAAATTCCATTGTCACAGTGAGAATCTGAAATCTGAGAATTTAGGAATCTGAATGTATGTATCGTTAGTGTGTCAACAACCTTTGCGCCTCATCACGGCAATTTTGAAAAAAAATGTAATGAGAGCTTAAAGATCTGGTCTCAAGTATTTATTAAGTAACTCATAATAGTTGCAACATCATCCTATAATAACATAAAAGAAGACGTCACATTAATTCAGATGTATTTATTCTGACATCCTGATAAAGTTTCAATTACATTATTAGCGTCAATTCTCCGCAATTAAATGAAATCCGACAGTCAACCTTTATAGCGCGTACTTCGAAATTTCATCTTATTTGAAAAAGTGGAAACAATTCCCAGATCGCGAGCTCCAAAGCCGTTGCGCCGGATTTGGCCAGCAGCCTTTAGTTTGGCGACCCCTGCCCTAGAAGGAGAGAGTTCTGGCGATGCGAAAGGGCAGAAATAAATGCGGGACGTACTACGGGAATGGTCGCGTACGCGCAGCCTCGATGTGCGTTGTTTCTCTCGTGACGACAACTTCGTCCCAGCTTTATCAGCATCGCTGCCCATCCCACACAGGTGCCCGCCATATTGCAGATTGCAGATTTATTTCTTTGAAATTTATATGCATACAGAATATTTAAAATGTACTTGTTAGCGGGCACAGTCTAAATTGCAAACTTTCGGCTGAAAATCTCTGTTCTAGCGTATCACGAGCCCAGCGCCAATGGAGAGGCTACAAAAAAAAGGGGGCGGGTACTGAGAGAATTCGGAATTCAATGGAACTGCTGCATTTTATAATTAAACTTGCGTACACCTAGTACATTCACGAGGTGCATAAAAAACGTAGGCAGTTTTCTAAAATTACACTCTACCACTGTGTTTACTGGCGAAAAAGTAAAACAAGGAGTGGTAGATGTGCATACACGCACTGCAGGATAATATGAGTATACTTTAATAGTTATAATGTCATACTCTATGCAATTGAAAAGTAACACATCTGGAAAAAGTTCATTAAGTGAAAAAATGTGTTTAAAATATAGTCTATTTTTACGGGTAAAATTTCATGAGAATGTTCAGAAGACATTCGGTAACGAAAAATTGAAAAGGTTTAACGTACCGTGAATAGATTACATTTCTCTCTCACAGTACTCACAGTTCCTTCACTGAGATATCGTTGACTCTGTTGAGTATAAAATCGTTCTACTGTAACATAACAATTTTTTAGATGTCACAATATATTTTCTTGGGCATCGACAACATGAAAATATCACACAAAAATACTTTAGATTTGGATCAGAACTAACTACAATCTTATCATTTCCAATCTCTCACAGCCTTTGAGAAATCCACGTTCCAAACAAAGAAGCTTCAAGTTCAGAAATATTCAGGTTCGGGTACATTTCTGGAAATGTTTTTAATTGTTCTACGTTCTTTTAAAACAAAACATAAAAAGTAGACAACTGGAAAGCTTAATATAATATAATTGTTACAAATATTTGTTTTATATGAGGCTTTTAGCTCATATTTACAAAATGTCATTTGATATACCCTTGGGGAGGAATGTTATAACTGATATCCAGTTCGTTAGAATTGTGATATATGTTTAGATTCGAATGTTTTTTTATGTACCGTACGTGCAAACAAGTGTTATGCCCTTCGTTTTGTTATTCTTGGATGTTAATTCGAGTTAGCGAGTTGCGTCTCGCTGCTGACAATTTGGTTTTGTGTACAAAGGTGATGGAGATGAGACACAAAGTTTTTTTCTAGGAGATCTTTAATAATATTGCTCACAATGTTATGTGTAAATTTGTACGTTGTATGTGTTTTTTTGGCAAAATAAAGACTTTGAACATCGACTTTGACTTTTCTGCTAGAGTATTATTTTAGAAAACCTTCATGAAGCCACATGCCGCTACTGACTGTATTCCTGAGAAACCTGCTGAAATAGTAACCTTCATTATCGGTCACATTTTCGGGTAACCGATTGACTTTTCCACAATTCACGATACTATTCTCTCTTTCACGGGTCATCTGGCCCCACAGCAAACGGTCACGCACATTTCGTAACTTACTTTTATTAAGCGGTCACCTCACACGACCCTCTGCGAGAACTTGTCAAGGAATCGCGGAACAAGCTGTGTGCATAAAACAGATTCGAACTTCCTTCTGCCAGACGATCTTACTTAAAACTATCAAGATGGATTCAGGAATAAACACGAAGTGAACAGCTTATTAAATCTAGTTTGCGAGGAACGTTAAGTGCATTTCACGAACAAGAGAATGGGAGAAAGTCCGGGGAGGGTTTGACACTAGTTGGGAGGAGACAAGAGAGCCAACGTATTGTATAGTTTTAAAATATATAATAATATTAAATAATTCAAAAGAGTTGAAAGTAAAGGTAAGAGTGGTTCATGGAGCTTGATCGATGATTTGTAATTTTAGTGAATTGTTGGTAGACGTTTGTGAAAACGTATTCCCATCCTCAGATCCGTGCATGAATAACAATAAAAAAAAGCGCGTTATTCAAACAACTATGCAAATTTTACACAAAATATCTGCCCTCTACATACCAACTAAAACACAATAGGAGAAATAATAAGATTTAAATATTTTTTGATTCTACGAAATGTTAATTTTTGTAATAGGAATTAATTCAATTAGAACTTAAGTTCATAAACTGTAAACACGTAACCTTGTTTAAGCAGCCACCCTTCTTAATGGCGGTGTTGTCGGAATGATAGATCAGTGCTTTCGGGCGCTTCAACGGCTAAGGTCACTAGCACCGTAAGTGTAGTACATGTTTTATCACGGGATGTAGAGGTGATCTTCGCCCTCTAGATACAGAGATCCGGCGCCGACCTACGTTGCATTGCGGGGATTTTCCCCAACCAGGTATCTCCCACCAGCGTGTCACAGTCCCAGCCAGGACAAGTTCCCAGCTCCGCCCCTTAAGTCTCCCAACATGTCTGGTATTGTAGTGCATGTGAGTGTGCTTGTAAGTTCGGGGTAAAGATAAGACAAGGAAGAGGAAGGAAATACGAGCGGTCCGTGGCCCGTTTGTTAGAGCACTGCTCCGGCATACACCTATGCTGATCGGAGAAACCATGGAAAACTACCAATCAGAGCAGCCGCCTGCTAAAATTCTCCTCTAGATAGCTACTAAATTAGACATACGTATCTAGCTAGGATCGATTAATTGATTGCTACTAATTTCAACTGCTAGGGGCATAAGTCCTGTAAGTGTAGTACATGCTTCTTTTCTCGAGAGGTGGCGGTGCTCTTCCTCTCTCTGTATGGATAGATCTGGCGCCTACCTACCGTCAGCTCGCGGAGTTTTCCCCAACCAAGTATCTCCCACCAGGGCAACACCGCCCAAAGCGAAAGAAACTCTAAGCTACCGATCGATCTCCCGGCACGTGTCGTAGTGTAGAGCTTGCTAGTGTGTGTAGGTGTGACGATAGGACAAGGAAGAAGAAGGTAAAATAGCGCGCGGTCCGTGGCCCGTTTGTTAGGGTACTGCTCCGGCATTCGCCTGGTGTTGATCGGAGAAACCACGGAAATCTAGCAGCCGGCCGCTAGAAGGGACTGACGTCGTCTCCATGCAGGGACTGAATTGGATCTAGCTGTCAAGCTGGAGTCGAAAATCCTACCACCGTCAGGATCCGAACCCTAGGATCCCCCGGTAAGAGGCTCTGGAGTGGCATCGTTTGATGCAACTGAGCCACCTTTTCAGGATTTCCTTTTTGCACGAAAGCAAGAGTGTCCGCTTAAGACAGGTTCCGTAGTAGATCCGCAACGTTCGCAGAGACGTTTCGCAAAGCTCGCACCCACACACAGAAACAAGCATCTGGAGGCCAGCCTGCTGCCCACCGGCCGTCTGTTGCTCGGCGCACGGCCCTCTGGAGACCGCCTCAGCGCCCCCAGGCGGCCCGGCGCCTCTCAAAATGCACATACATCACTTCCGCGCCGCGGGGCATTCGGCCTGGGCCCCGAGCGCCGTAAAGCATTCCTTGCACAGGCACAAGGAGCGCCGCTGATCGATAAACGCTCGCGTTGGCTCCACGCACGGCGCATTACGAATGGCCAAAAATAGCGGCATGCGTTGTGGGTCAGCGCTCGAATGATTTCGGCAGTAAGTCTAAAAACCTCTTGAGGGGATACGGAATGCTACATCCTGGCAATATTATATGTTTGACTCCAGTTCTTAGAATCTATTGAAGTTGGGATTAAATTTTTTTACAGGTGATAGATATATCACTCATAATAGCACTGAAATAACGATTGAAAAAAATATTTACAAGTTTTGTAGATACAAATATATTCTTACAATGCATTTTACCATCTTTTCTGCAGAATTAACAATAATATTAATAAGAAGGTAGTCCGAAAAGAATTGTTTCAGCAAATGTAGGAGACCTTTATTAACAAATCCTGAAATTTTCAAATTCCTATTGTAAACGAATGTTGAAAAAAGGTACATTGAGTATTAAAATATCAACTCTCGGAGTTCGAAAATTCAAATCTCAGAACATGCCAGTTCGAAAACTTGCCTAATCAGAATAATCATTTTCTAACAGCGAGGTCCTTTTGACACATTTTTAGTTAGTTAGCTTCATAACATAAAGTGTTTAATATACTTTCTGCATGTCTACGTTTTTAGTATTTATATGTGGCGTTCTGTAACAGCATCTACATGTATTGGATCCGGAACCTAAACCCAATAAAACGAGGACTTCATAAATAAATAATAAAAAATACCTGGAAGACAGTTATCAACATAATTCAAACGCCAATTTAAAAAGTTAAAAGATTATTGAATAATAACGTATCCAAAAACTATTTTCTTAACTGTCCAATAGTTCTATTTCCCCTTAAACCACGTTAAATAAGTCTCAAAATTAAACACCTTACAAGGCACATTCCAGCTATCTGGTCTCAAAAAATGCATTTTCGATCACCATACACTAAAAACTTCACATAGAATCATCTCCATCAAGATGAAGATTTCATATCGACGACTGGATCTACGTGGGTACCGAATCTAATTTCGTTTTAAAATATTTAATAGTATAACATTAATTCACAAAATATTAATCGTGTTTAGGACCGTCATTAATAACATTAATAATATAATTTTTAAAAGTAATTTTATATTAAATAATCACAATTGTAGAGATTCCTCACCATTTCTGACGGGCAGTACTTGAGGACGTCCGTGAGTTGGGAGTCCGTGTCCTCTTCACTCGCCACGGCTAACGCTGCCAGCGACACCTGTGGGCCAAACGGAGATCCATTAAAGCGATAGAAAAAAGTGCATACAACTATCCAATATTGAAGTCTACATCGCGATAAAGAAAAAGAAAAAAGAAGAAAAAAACAGACACTGATGACAGTTGCAGCTTTACCACAAGTCTAAAAGAGGCTAACAAGCGCAACATGCGAAACCCAACTGAGATAGATCAGAGGTGGGACTGTCGTTTCCTCTGGAGCGTGACGGAACGGGAGGTCCTAAGGTCACGGTTTGACGGTAGCATCGCTAGGTCGAATTCAACCAGTGTTTGGAGGAGAATTCTGAGGCCGGCTGATATGACGGGTAGTTTCACGAATTTCCTCCTATTGAAAGCACTCAGAGAGGTGGCTCAGGCATCAATTGATGTTACTGCAGTGCCGCTGACCGCGAGGTCCTATGTTCAAGTTCAGATAGTGATAGAATATTTGACACTTTCTACATAGCTAGGTCGAGTTCCGTCGCTGTCTGGAGAAGAATTCTAGCGGCCGGCTGCTCTGATCGGTAGTTTTCCGCGGATTCTCCAAAAAACACCGGGTGAGTGCTGGTGCAATACCCTAACAATGAGCACGAACCGTGCGCCATCTTTCCTTCCTCTTACTTGTTATGTTTTTCCTCTTACCTACGCACACTAACGTGCGCTACACCACTACAAACGTCGGGAGCATTCGACAATTCGAGAGCTTAGAGCTTGGGCCGGCTGGGTGGTGCCACGCTGGTGGGAGATACCTGTCTGGGGAAAACTCCAGGTCGTAGGTCTGCGAATGGTCTCACCAGCCAGCGGGGGAAGATCACCGCCACCTACACGATAAAAGCGCGCCCTAAACTTATGGGACTAATGACCTTAGCAGTTGATGCGCCCGGAAACAGTAATTATTAATCAATCAATCAAAAAAATCAAATCAAAGCCAAGTGGCAGTAACAAATGAGCTCTGAGCTGCGTCCGATCTATCCATCATCAACCTTGCCCACTCCTCTCCCATTTCACTCGCAAACACATTTGCACGACACTACCAATTGTGTCGGGAGCGTACACCTCGGCAGCCGGAGATACCTAGAGAGAGAAACCCAACGAGACGACCCGCACGTCGTCGCCGCATCTCTTACGTTCCAAGAGGGGAACTTTGTCACTTCCCAGGATATAACATGCACTACACTTTCGGAACTAATGACCATACTAGTTGACGACCCCGAAAAAAATTTAATAATAATTCAAATGCGAATTCAAGAAAAATACATTGCAGGGTTTTGTAAAAAAATGTAAGTTCTTACACGTTGTGAAATCATATATATTAACATTCGACAGATGTATTATGGAATGTCAAGTATATGGAAGTCAAATCAAGTTTCAATTTAAAAAAAAGTCTTTTGTTTTCAATATTTACAAGACTTGTTCCAAAAAATGATTTCGACATGAAACATAAGCATGGAAATATTTTTTTTCTTTTCAATAATTTGACATGACATTATCGAATATTGAATGTATTGCTTCATCCAGTGAAACACAATGTCTCTACAAACCAGAGTCAAATGTCAAACGAGAGGTTCATATTTTTTTAACAGATTTTTAGCGAGAAGTTAAGGATCTTCTTCAGAGGACTATAAAGCAGCATGGGATGTATAGTTTCATTTTCAGAAAAAGGATACTTGGCAGGCGTCATAAATTAACCGAAGAGAAATTATGGCATTTCTTATGGCTATCTCAGTTGTAGTGTTTCGAAATCATATCCAACTAAAATGACAAAGAAATGTGTAGTTGTATGATTCTTTATGTGTTATCAACAAATATCCAGCTAAATAGAAATAAGGGAAGCCCAACAGGTTCCTCTTCAACAAATATAATTTCTTTATATTCTTTATTAAAGTTTCATCAAAATTTCATTTCCTTGTAGTTTCATATTCTCTTCTAAAATAGATTACAAAAAGTAATTTGCAATCAATATATGTGATAATTGACAATCGTCGAATTGTATAGAACTTATGGTATTCGAGAACAGATAGCACACACATTAACAATTAGACATTTAAGTGCCCATGCAATGGTACGATCTGCTACGCCACATTCTGCAACATAAAATGCAGTCGTAGCTATGAGATAGAATTGCGCAGTACGGCATTAAACACCAACACAACTTTGAATGTTCGTTGTATCGTCTCTTCTGGAGAATGATAACCCGTAATTTTATCGCAGCCATAAAAGGATAAACGACCGCCTAAGGACTATATCCCTAACTCAGAGCATCTCGAGACAGGTAATAAGGATCAGTTTATCGCCATATTCTCGTCAATACTCACCACATTTCACTGTTACTATTCTCGTGAATTCATTGTCAGATGACTCAATTTTCGAAGTAAACTGTGCTATTAATGTGGCACATAATGACTTACGGAGAATCTCGTTTGAGACGTACTTTAAATTATTCATTTGATCGGAGAGGAGACTTCAATAATGCCGTTCAGTTCCAAAGTTGATGAAGTGCATTACATTACGTAACTTTTAATGTCAGATTTATGGAGGAACTTAACATTTTCGTAACATAATAACGTCAGAACGTTCTTCAATATAAATGTTGACTTCATTTCAACAAATGAAATTAACAATACAAAATTTCAATAGAATTCTAATAAAGTATAACTTCTCTTGAGAATAAGAATATCTTCTCCATATAAAGATGCTCTCTAGTAGAGATCTTCTCTCTCAATATATTCGAGGTAATTTTCCAGGAGGACGTAATTTTCCTGTCATTACTAACATCGTCTTACGCACAGCGCTGCAAAATTATTCTCGATTTATAGCCAACGCTAATCGATGAAACTCATTACGCACACCAATTGAATGGTAATTACCATTTAATATTCTAATCTAATCAGCAATTAACCAGCGAATATAATCACATCCAAATGCATGTAAGTGTAATGGTGATTACTCGATATGGCCGAGCGATGTTGTGCACGTGCTCAGTTGAGATTCAGCAAACTGGAGCATCGAGGTTCGGGAGATCTTAAAGCACTAAATTCTTGGAATTCTGTCCTGTCCTATGGCTCGACAGCCTGTTACGGGTCTTGGTCGGCCAGCGGTGGCTCAGCCTCTCGGCCATGGGATACAGGGTTCGTGTGGTTAGTACGAAGATATCCCTTCTCCATTATACCGGTTAAGGAAGTCTTTCTCATCGTCACACAGCAATAGATAGTGGGACATTTGTACGGAAAGGGCACAGTTATTACTTTGCCCCGGCCGGAAATCGAACACGGAGTTGCGCCGTGGAAAGCGAGCACGCTAACGATCGAGTCATCGAGGGCGAAATTCTTGGAATCACCCACACGTGTTTCAGAAACACGTATTTTCTATTATCTTCCCTACCGTCTTCAGTAATAACCTTAAAGAAGAAGAATCCCACTCATAAAAATCCAAGTCATGGAGAACCTTCCCAAAAAAACAGAACAAGCCACTCCCTCCGAATCCCATTAACTTGTCCTTTGCACAACTGTAATATAAGACTGCTATCACATCAATTTACTTATCAATTAAATTTATTTATTGATATTGGCTTAGATTTATCGGCCTTTCATCTGCCAAGGTCCCTGAGGTCCTAGGGAGTTGCACTGAGCAGATTATAAATATTCTGATGATGATAAAGTGATTGGGGTATGTGGTGTGAAGTGAGACAAAGGCAATGCGAGAATGCCAGAATAACAGCCACATTTCTCACCGAAATTCTTTGAATCACCCCACTCATTGAGGTTAGGTCAGCACCAGCAACGCCACGGACGGAACGACAAATAAAAAACAGATGGTGACATTAGAAAGCATCTTATGTAGTTTCGAACGCAAACATACATTGCACCATTGATTTTAATAAAATTCAATTTTCGGAGCGTCGGGGCTTCAATTGATGTCACTCCAGTGCCTGTGACTGGGAGGTCTTAAGGTTCTAGTCTCCACGATGGAAGGATTTTGGACACTAGTTGCATAGCTACTAGGACGTATTCTGTAGCTGTCTGGAACAGAATTGTAGCGGTCGTCTGCTCTTATCGGTACTTTTCTGCGATTTCTCCGATCTTCACCAGATGAATGCCGAAGCAGTACCGTACCAAACGGGAACAAACACGAACCGCGCGCGATACTTCCTTCCTCTTCCTTTTCCTAACCTCGCCACTTACTTACACACAGTCACACTTTCAAGTACTATCCCGAGCTTGTCCCGGCTAGTGCAGTGCCTCGCTAGTGGAAGATACCGTATGGTTGGAAAAATCCCGCTAGCCGACGGTAGGTCTCACCATCCGGGGGTGTTATTGCCACCCGTCGGAATAAAACATTCACTGCACTAACGGGATTAAGGACCGTAGCAATTGACCTTCCGGAAAATACCAATCATTCGATCAATCGCATCACCCGCGCCTACACTTCGATATATTTAGAGCTTCACTGGACAGACTGGCTGATTTGGAGGCATCCAAATATATTAAAGTGCTTATATTTTATTAGAGTGACGTCACTATGGTGACGTTCAACCTCCCGATTGGAGGACACCGTAACAGCTAATTTACGTCAACAGAACCTATGCTTAAATCCATGCACACTTCAGAAACATTACCTTCATAACATTGACATCATAATGTGGATACTAATTAGTGAAAATGAAACGAATCTCACCTATATTCCAGCATTTCACCGACATCCTAAAATCAACAAGAATAAGTGGAAAAGATACGAATCTCGCATACATACCAGCACTTCACCGACATCCTAATACACTCACTAAAGGAAATAAAAGGAATCACACCTATATCCCAGCACTTCACCCACACCCTAATATCGTCACGAATCAGGGGAAATAAAAGGAATCTCATCTACGTCTCAGCACTTCACCGACATCCTAGTACCGTCACTAATCAGAGGAAATAAAAGGAATCTCATCTATGTCCCAGCACTTCACCGCCATCCTAATTTCGTCCCTAACCAGTGGAAAAAAAGGAACGTCGCCGCGAATCTCCCCCGAAAGCAGAAGCGCCATAAACCTGCCCTTCGCACCACCGCGTCCGGCCTTCCG